TTGACCTTAGATTTGAACAGGTTAAGATTGTAGTGATCAGGGAAAGCATCCTCCTGGAACTCAGTCACACACAAAAAGCGGGAAGAAGACCTTTGAGTGTATCTCTAATGAAATACAAAGTGAACGAGGATCGTTGGAATAGCTTCATAATCAAGGAAAGGTAAATAGAACATTGTTTGATTGGGAAGCACTTCGTAGCCTCCTGGTTAAAGCACGCCGGATTAGAAGCCGTTTTCTCCTCCAAAGGGGGACGCACGTTCGAATTCACCTTTTCGATAGTAATTTTTTTAAAAATATAATGGATCGTCTATTTAAATATTTTAAGACTAATAATTTCCACCCTCCCAAGACCAATACCTTGTGCCTTTCGTCTGACTGAATCATTGAAATGGATAAATTCTGTATTAGTTTTTCGACGTTTTTTTGTAGCTGTCACAGTTAAATTTCTAATCCCGACACGAACTCAGTTTATATACTGGGGTTGAATAAGACTGATGAATTTTTCGTCGGTTGAAATAAGCCTATTCCCCATTTGAGGTAATTTGGGATTTTATTGTGTACTAATTATTTGCTCTGTAATAAAAAAACATTTAGCTTTTTTTGTGTATCAATTTTATATTTCATATTACTAGGATCCACTTGGATTATATACGAACGGATTTTATAGCTTTAATCTCTCTCTCTCTCTCTCTCTCTCTCTCTCTCTCTCTCTCTCTCTCTATATATATATATATATATATATATATATATATATATATATATATACACACTACAGTTTAAAAGTTTGAAGCCACCACTTAAATTGGTCCCTAAAATAGCTGTTTTGTATTTTAAACAAGAGAAAATTATTGTATATGTTTAAAAATAAAATGAAGCATGATTTTTATTACAAAATTTTTATGACAAAAGGAAAAAAGGCATTTATTATTAAGTTTTGTTCTCATCACAATATCCTCCTTTATATTTGATTACTGCAGCACAAATATTTGGCATTTACTGCAGAGGTTTCTCACAGTGTAAGTTTGATAATTGATTGCATTATTTTTTCAATGAATCTAAGAGCTTTTTTCATTTTGGAGATGGAAAGGTTTCACTCTTCTGTCAAGTTCATCCCATCCTAATTCTGAATGTGACTTCAAAACTTTGAACTGTAGTATATATATATATATATATATATATATATATATAAAAGTGAACATTGAAGTCAACACTCAGAGGCGACAGGCTGTTTCATGCTAGACGCAATCGCCAGGCCACAAATATCGTGGCCTGACGATTGCATTTTTTTCTTACTCTGGTTGCTACTGTTGAGGTTGCTATACTGAATTTCGGTGCCTCTATAACTACTATCTTTTTAGCAGTATTATAATAACCACTATGTTTATAGATGACATCTTTGTTAGAAGATTTATATATATATATATATATATATATATATAAATGAGTGAAAACTGAGGTCCTCACCAAGTGGCGACAATCTGTTTCCATTTAAAAATAAATAGCTGTAAACAAATCCCATTGGAAATATATATTGAAATAAAATGTAAATTTGCTGATTTGATATTGCGAAAAAATAAATAACTAACGTATTTATATAAGGAAAACGAAATAATTAATATCCCTAATTAAAAATATAATTAATGTAGGTGTTAAAGCAAAGCATAGACTTTAATGAAAATTTATAACGAAAATCTTATTAATATCTCTATAAATATTTATATATTTTGATATCATTTTCTCCATCTATTATCTTAGCTGGAAAAAGTGGTCAGTCATAAAAGATTACTTTAATTAACTGAATAGAATCGTGGTATCTTTTTTCTCTTAGTGATTTTCAGCTATTTTGAGTGTGTTCGTACACAGCGAAACGTTAACAAAGAAATAAATGATTTCACGAATTACGTTTTACACGCTCTAAATAAAAAAAAAGATAAAAACATACGAATCTTTAAACTTGTAATGAAACTTTATTCACTGCTCATATGTGAGGTCCATACATTACTTTTATACTAAATTAGTTCGAATGAGAGGCAACTATAGTTATATTCACAACTTCTTTATAACTTGTTCAGATATTTGTTATCAATCATTTAGCAAAATTATGCACATAAAACATTCTATAGGACACAATAATACCTTCATCCTAGGTTCAAGTGCAGATATCTACGTAAATAACCAAATCATCATTTTGACGGGTAGTATGATATATATATATATATATATATATATATGTGTGTGTGTGTGTGTGTGTGTGTGTGTGTGTGTGTGTGTGTGTGTGAAAATATATAGAAAATAGGAAAGAACTGGTAAGGTAGATCCAAAGTTCCTTAGTATTTTAGTTATTATTTTTAAAAAATAGTGCTCGATACAAATGTAGAGCATAAATATAATTATTTATTTAAAAATATGATTCTAATTCGCTTTTCAGAAAAAAATGTTGGCACCCTAATTGAGGTCGAGCACTCTGTACCTTTATTTTTAAATACTCCTTTAAAATTATGGAAAAAGTTACTTTCGGGATTTCTCTGAAAAGCGAGTTGTAATCATTTTTAAATAAATAATTATACACACACACACACACACACACACACACACACACATATATATATATATATATATATATATATATATATATATATATATATATATATATATATATATATATATATATATCGAGTTCTGACGTATTTATCTGAATGTAAATACGTTCAGATTTATCTTCACCTTCTAAGCTATTGCTTAGGAGTAGAGTCTCGAGTGATATCAAATCAGTCGGGTTTCGATCCCGGCTTGAGGCAATCGGATGTCTAGCTACACTGATGAGCTGTCAAACAGCGAAAAAGTCTGTATGTTTATGACAATATGTGCATGCTTCTGAAAATAATTATTTCGGCACAACTCTCGAGGAGAAAAATGAATTTGTAAAAAGTTACTATTACTGCTGCTGAGGCAAGACTCTTCCTTAAGAGAAATCGTGTTCTCCAGTCCCTGGTGTTTTTTATCTAAAAATAAGTGTGTAAATATATATATATATATATATATATATATATATATATATATATATATGTATGTAAGTATTGACTTCTATATATATGAAGTATATATTGACTGTATTATCGATATAATATATATGGATTATATATTGATTTCAGTATATATGAATATTGACTTCAATGTTACACACACACACACACACACACACACACACATATATATATATATATATATATATATATATATATATATATATATTCCTGTGTTTTGGGAATTGCGTAAAATATATACCCGGCAATAGAGTCACGAGCTGCTGACAGAATGTGTGAACCCCGAACAGCCGTGGCCAATTGTTGAGCTTTTGCATTTGTTTGCTACCTCAATAGAGTTACAGTTTTGCTCACCAAAATAAGTCATTGGGAAGGATTTGATCAAGTGAGTAGCATGAATTGAAATTATCATTGGGTTTCTGATGGGTTATTTTTTCTTTTTTTATGAGGTCTTTCAATGTAATAGATTTACTCAGGGAGTGAAAGGAAAATCGTTACTTACCGCTTCAAAACGGGAGAATCATTATATTTGCTTAGAAAAATGGCCTCTGAGTTTGCTTCGTTTTTATGGATGACAAAAAAGATGATCAATCGGAAGTAGCTCGTGATTGAGTCATAAAGGCCTGAGGAGTCGTAGTGGGTTAGGAGAGCCTTGCATTATGAGAAGAGTGGTAGCTGACGGCTATCACACAAATCACGATCAGTATCCATTGGTTGACGTGGAGATATTTTAAAATCCGACACTCTTAATGATCCTTGGCTAAAAACATCACTGATGATTTTTTTTTTATGCAGAGAAACGAACAGAAATATTTCACGAAATATATATATATATATATATATATATATATATATATATATTAAAAAGTAGAGAGATATCGCAAACGTTTTTGGTTGTCATGTGGATTTTTTTATTACACGTGTTTCTGGTGTCGCGACCGTCATCAGGTAAAAGTGGAGATTTCCACATATTATTAAAAATAATTATTTTTTAACCTTTATGTTTTTCGATGTTAAAATAATCATAGAATGCATCCAGAAATGAACTCCTTATTTATACCCAGAAAATATTTTTAGTGAGAATTTGTTGAGGAAAAAATAATAGTTTAGCGATATATGTATTACTAATGAATCCATAGCTAGGGGGAGAAGAGGTGGATTGATACCATTCCCAAGGTAATTTGCTCGTAAGTGAATATAACGAACCCAATTGAAATTGGAACTTTGCTCTTCCATTAACTATTTCGTGCCATTATCCATGACCCCCACCGACACATACACGTTTGGAGCAACTGGTATTCCCACCCATCTAGGCACTAACGAGGCTCAACGTTGTTTAATTTCTGTGATGTTCCTGGGACCGTGGCTTCAACGTGATGTGACGGTAAGCCCATAAATATTCATAAGTTTGGATGCACTACGGAATATCCGGATGACAAGTGCCTATTAGCGGGTCTCTAGTCTGACCTAATTGTCAGAGATCAATGGGAAAAAACACTCACTGATATCATTCAATAAATTCAGAAATGAACTCATAACATTTATTCCTCACCAAACAGACACGGATCCTGATGTGTGATCATTTCCTCAAAGAAGTTCCTTGTCTCCTGGGGGCAGCTGGATGTTGCAATGAATCCGATAGACAAATTTCCGCTTGATATTTGTTATTTTAAAGACAACCGCCATTGTTATAAATTGATTGTAACATCTATGGAAGATAAACGAAGAGGGGTGTGTCAGAAAGAGAAGGATTGGATTCGTGTTTTTTTTTTGTTCAAGGTTAGTAATGCTTAAGTAACACGAACAAAGTACCAGCCAATCAGTGAATTCATTCGTTACTTGGTAGCAAACAGTAAGGAGAATTCAGACTGTGAGGAAGATCACAATTTGAATGAAAGTGTTGGAGAATAAGTGAAATATTCCCAGGGAAAATATTTTCATATAAAGGAGAGAATATCAATAAAACATGAAGAAAAAAAAAAGAAACACAATCGAATATTCGTATTTTCTGTGAATACTAGGAATTTCACAGATAGGCCGATGGAGTGTAAATAGATAAAGAAAATTACAGGTATGAGATATGGAATGCAAGCAATGAAAGGAAAACTGAAGAAACAATGTGAGAAAAGAAGGTAGGTCAGTGCGTTTAGAGAACAAAACGAAAAAAAGAATATAGATAGACAGATAGCAAGAAAGAGAGAGAGAGAGGGAGTAGAAATGTCAGAAGTGTAATAGAACATAGATTGATTTTACAAGGTATATGGGATAGATAGATAGAAAGAGACAGGCAGCGAGAGAGAGAGAGAGAGATAGTGAGAGAGAAAGAAAGTGAGGAGAATGTCAAAGAGGAGAATGTGAGAAATATTGTAGAGCATACAAGTAAAATGATTCTGAAAAAGAAGATATATATATATATATATATATATATATATATATATATAGCGAGAGAGAGAGAGAGAGGGAGAGAGAGACTGACAGACAGAGAGAACAGGGTGAGGAGGAGAAATTTCGGAAATGAGCATACAAGAAAAAAAGATTGTGAAAAGGAATATGATATAGACAGATAGTTATGGGTGGAGAGAGAAAGATTAGATAGAGAGAGTGAGACTAAGTTGGCGGAATCAAGACTGGCAAAGAAGAGAAGAAGAAAAGAAGAAAAGAGACCAGGAGAAAGATTGGGTGACGTGAGAGTCGCCACTGGTTGGAGAATGAAAATAGAGAAATAAAAATATAGACAGAGTAGGAGAAGACAAAGAGATAGATAGATAGATAGATAGATAGATAGATAGAGAGAGAGAGAGAGAGAGAGAGAGAGAGAGAGAGAGAGAGAGAGAAAGAAGAGAATGAGCGACTTTAGAGAAAGGAAGATAAAATATTAACAAATTATATAAATTACATAATCAAATAGATCAGAACAGTTACACATCGAAGAATAGAAAAAGAAAATGGTGAGTAGAGGTAGAAGCGGCACTATATGAAAGAATAGTGTATATATATATATATATATATATATATATATATATATATATATATATAAAGGAAGATGGGATATTTGACGCTACAATGGGAAGCTTTGACGGTGTAATTTGGCAAAATCATATGTATTTACTCACGAAATAAGCGAAATAATAGATAGAAATGACACAGGACTCTACAGTGACGGTGGTCTCATAATCTTAAGAAATTGTAACAAACAAAACACAAACAAAATTAGAAAAGCAATAATAAAGATTTTCAAAAATAACTGGTTCGACATATATATAAAAACTAACCTAAACGAAGTAGATTTTCTAGATGTTATCTAAGAAAAGGCACGCATATACCATACAGAAAACCCAATGATAAACCACTCTATATGTGCGAGAACGGGGGGGGGCTTCTTGCGACACAAAAACGAACGCCTTCTTGCGACACAACAACGAACGCTTTCTTGCGAACCTGAAACGAATGCGACACAAAAACGAACGCCTTCTTGCGAGCGAACACTTTCCGACAGCAAACGAGCAAAACGGCACCCAAGACAGCTGCCGACGGACGACCGACCGCAACGGCTTGTGTCGCCCAAGAAAAGACGCCAAATGACTCGCGCGTCTTCTTGTAGTCCTCGGTCGAGTCCATTATGGTACTCCAAGGTGTGCCCGGCGACAACACACACACGCAGTTCGAGAACGTTTCCGCGTATGCTCGTTACACTATATACACACATCTTCCAATCACCTGCCTTCTATAATCAAACAGATACCAAAATCGATTAACCGCAGGCTTTCCGACAATTCCTTCAATGAAACCATATTTAACAAAGCTAAGAATGACAACGAAACAGCCCTAAAAGATAGCAGATTCCCAGCAACACTCACATACTCACCACAGAAAACAAAAACACATACAGAAAAATAATCAACAAACCTATGGTCTTTTTTCAACTTCAAGTTGCTTAAATCGATGTATCTTCAGTTTACATGGCATCTATATATTTGTGTTATGGTTAGTGTAGTAGTATAGCGTGAGATATTGATTGTCGATCTAAATTTTTTTTAGGTGGGAATGACAAAAAAGGTGTTATATCACATTTGAGAGTAGACTATGATTTGAATTAATCGAGTGGAAACGTAAGCTAGATTAACAGTTGAAAAAGTAAGATCTGTTTGACAACTTTGGGTAGCAGCGTATTTTTGAAAATTATGAGTAAAAGCAAATTGGAAAGATTAATTTAAAGATTAGCATCACTCGGGTATTCACTGCAGATCATTAATTATAATTATTAATTATTTATCTTAATTTTCTGCAAGAGATTAACTAGGAAATGTTAGATTGGCTAGTGAAAAAAGCATTACGTAAAGACTGACCAATCAAAGAAAAAAGAATAAGACTTTCTTTACCATGAAAAAATGCCGAATGAAGGAACTGGAAGAAAGAGGTAGAAATAGTGAAGTCACGCCGAAGCGTGTGTGTCACTGCTGGGAGCAGGGGTATCGCTGCCCGTCAAACATTAACCAATCCCGTGAAACAATTCTTCCACTGATGAGATCTGTCTATGTCAGTTTATTCATTATCTATCTATCTATCTATCTATCTATCTATCTATCTATCTATCTATCTATCTCAGTCTGTTCATATCTATCTATCTATCTAGCTAGCTATGTCAGTTTATTGAGATCTATCTATCTATCTATCTATCTATCTATCTATCTATCTATCTATCTCAGTCTGTTCATATGTATCTATCTATCTATCTATCTATCTATCTATCTATCTCAGTCTGTTCATAACTGTCTACTCCAGTCTATTCATATCTATCTATCTATCTATCTATCTATCTATCTATCTATCTATCTATCTATCTATCTAGTCTATTCTTATATACATATGAATTCAGTTTACTCTTATCTATAACAACACGGACATGAGGATAGCAACGAAATTTTTAAGGTCAACAGGAATTACACCGAAAATTCTGCTAAGTATCAGAAGCAGAGATTTGAAATTTCTGTTTTAGATAATGAGAAAGATAACGTAAAATCGAAAAGTAACAAGACTTACACAAGGCAATAAAAGTAACAAGACTTACACAAGGCAATAAAATCAAGAGGAAGAGCGAGTAAACTACTTAAAGAATTTGTGTGCTGAATGAGTGATAGAAAACAGAAAACAAAGTGAAATATTTAAAAATCCCAATGAAGCTTCGGATTCTTGTATCATATCTCCCATTGTCTTGTATAACAATTAGCAAATCGAAACATTTCTGTAATTGCTTTATTTTGATGTCTCCAATTCGAACCTCGCATCTTGGATGATTTTTATTGCTCACAACCACATTAAAAACCGGATATCCTCTCTTCTTACAATTAATAAATATATCTGTTTTTTTTTACCGTCTTAAAATTAACAACTACAGATCCGGCCTTCTCATAATTAACAACCACAAATCAGACCATCTTACAATGAACAACGACATATCCGGTCTTCTTAGAATTAAAAATCACAAATACTGTCTTTAAGCAAATTAACAAACATTTTTCTTACATTTAAGTATTTTCTATCGATTTCTTACAATTACCAACCGCATATACATCGTTTAAAAATTAAAAAAAAAGCAAATTCGGCCTCCTTACAATTAACTCTTACCTTGTCTTCTTACAATTAGCAACCACATATCTCGTCTTTTTACCTTTAACTACCGCATATCATGTCTTCATACAATTAACAACCACAAATCTGACCATCTTACAATTAACAACCACATATCCGTCCTTCTTACAATTAATAAAAACATATCCGGTTATTTTTTATCTTCAACAACAGTATATTCTGTCTTCTTAAAATTAACAACCACAAATTCGGTCATCTTACAATAAACAACCGCATATCAGGCCTTCTTAAAATTAACAAACATTTATCCGGTCATTTTACCTTCTACAACTTCATACCCCGTCTTCTTATAATTAACAACCACATACTCGGTGTTTTTACCTTTAAGAACAGCATATCCTGTCTTCCAATAAATAACAACCATATATTCGTTCTTCTAACAATTAACAACCACAAATCCGGCCATCTTACAATTAACAAATCATATCCGGCCTTCTTACAATCAACAACCACATATCCGGCTTTCTTACAATTAACAACGGCGTTTCCGGTCTTTTTACCTTCAACAATCGCATATCTTGTCTTCTTACAATTAACAACCACAAATCCGTCCATCATACAATTAACAAACACATATCCGGCAATTTTGCAATTAACAAACACATTATCGGTCTTCATACAATTTACAACCAAAAATCCGACCATCTAACAATTAACAACCTTATGTCCCATGTTTTACCTTCAACAACCGCATATCATGGCTACTCAGAATTAAAAACCACATATTCGGTCTTCTTAAAATTAATATCCACAAATTCGGTCTTCTTACAATTAACAACTACAAATCCGACTATCTTACGATTAAAACCACATAACCGGCCTTCTTATAATTAACAGCCACATATGCGGACATCTTACAGTTAACAACGACATATTTTTATTTTCAATACCGCATATCCAGTTTTCTTACAATTAACAAATACATATTCGGTCTTCTTATAATTAACAACCACATATCCGACCTTCTTGCATTAACAACTCTATATCCGGTATTTTACCTTCATCAACCGCATATCCTGTCTTCTTAAAATTAACAGCAACATATCCGTTCTTTTTAACTTTAACAACCGCCTATCCTGTCTTCTTACAATTAACAACCACATATTCGCTCTTCTTACAATTAACAAACATAAATCCGATCATCATACAATTAACAACCATATATCCAACCTTCTTACAATTAACAAGCACATATTCGGTCTTCTTAGAATTAAATACCAGATATCTGGCATTCTTAGAATTAACAACTACATATCCAGTTTTACATTCAAAAAACGGATGACCTCTCTTCATACAATTAACAAACATATATTCGCTTTTTTTTACCTTGAACAACCGCATATCCTGATTTCTTACAAATAACAACAGTATATTTGGTCTTCCTACAATTACCGACCACAAATCCAGCCATCTTCCAATTAAAAACCACATATCCGGCCATCTTTTAATTAAAAACCACATATCCGGTCTTTTTACATTCAACAACCGATATTCTGTCTACTTACAATTAACAACTCCGGTTTTTTTAATTTTAACAACGGCATTTCCGGTTTTCTTACAATTAACAACCACATATTCGCTCTTCTTACAATTAACAACCACAAATCCAACCATAAAACAATTAACAACAATATATCAGGCCCTCTTACAATTAACAATCGCAAATCCAGCTATCATACAACTACCAACCACATAACCGGACTTCTTACAATCAAAAACCACATAATCGGCTACCTTACAATTAATAACCACATATCTGGCTTGTTACCTTTAACAACCGAATATCCTGGCTTCTTACAATTAAAAACCACATATTCGGTCTTCTTACAATTAACAACCACAAATCCGGCCATCTTACAATAAACAACCACAAATCAGGCTATCGTAAAACTGACAACCACATACTCGGTCTTCTCATAATTAATGACCACATATCCGGCATTCTTAGAATTAACAACTACATATCCGGTCTTTTTACCTTCAATACCGCATATCCAGTTTTCTTACAATTAACAACCACAAATCCGGCCTTCTTACATTTAACAACTCGATATCCTGCCTCCTTAGATTTAACAACCCCATATACGGTATTTTACCTTGAACAACCGCATATCCTGTATTCTTACAATTAAAAACAACATATCCGGTCTTTTTAACTTTAACAACCGCCCATCCAGTCTTATTACAATTAAAAACCACATATTCGGTCTTCTTACAATTAACAACCACATATTCAGTCTTCTTACAATTAACAAACACAAATCCGGACATCATACAATTAAGAACAACATATCCAACCTTTTTACAATTAACAAGCACATATTCGGTCTCCTTACAATTAACAATAAAAAATACGTCAAACTTACAATTAACAACCACATATCCGGTTTTCTTACTATTACATACCGGATATCCGGCTTTCTTAGAATTAACAACTACAACACCGGTATTTTTACAAAAAACAGCTTATCCTCTCTTACAATTAACAAACACATGTCCTGTTTTTTTACCTTGAACAACCGCAGACTCAGACTTCTAACAAATAACAACGATATATTCGGTCTTCCTACAATGAACGACCACAAATCCGGCCATCTTACAATTACAAACCAAATATCCGGCCTTTTTATAATTAGCAACCACATACCAGTTTTTTTTTACATATAAGAACCTCATATCCCGTCTTCTTACAATTACAAAACACATATTCCCTCTTCTTATTATTAACAACCACAAAATCGGCCATCTCACAATTAGCAACCACAAATCTAGCCATCATACAATTAACAACCAGACATCCGGCCTTCTTAAAATTTAACAACCACTTATCTGGCCATCTTACAATTAACAACACCATGTCCAGCCTTCTTACAATTAACGACAACGAATCCGGCCATTTTACAATTACAAACCACATATCTTGTCTTCTTACAATTAACAACTCCATATCCCGTCTTTTTACCTCTAAA